CCATCAAAAGTTTCTGTTCCAGCACCTTATACATTAGAAGGGGATTTAGTGGATACATCGCAAAAAGATATGAAATATGATATTGAAGAAGCAGACTTCAATTTTACAAAAATAGTAAATAGCATTAAACCTCATACTTTCAAAATGAAAGAAGAAAAAAAAATGGGAATAACTAAAAGTCATATAGGTTTTATAGCAGAGGAGGTAGAAGAAAATATACCAGAAAAGGTTGAAAATATACTTGTGAAAGTGGATGGCATTAAGAAATTAAGTTATGTCAAGATGGGAAGTATCACTTGGGGAGCAGTAAGAGAATTAATTGATGAAAATGAAAAAATGAAAAATCAAATACATCATTTAGAAAGTTCAGTTTATGAATTACAAGAGATGATGAAAGACCTAATGAAACCTAAACCAAAGGCAAAAACAAAGGCAAAATCCAAAGATGAAGATGAAGATTAAAATATCTAATAATATATATGGGAAATAAACAATCTACAGTTGAGAACGGTTGTATTCAAGAATTGAGTAAAATTAATGAAGAAGAGTTAGACATCTCAAGAATAGATAAATTACAAATAAAAGCCTTAAAAGAAATCAACAGCAAAATTGAAAAATTGAACAAGGAAAAGCAAACAAAAATGATATATGCTTTGCCAAAAATAGATGTCTGCAATTACAGCCTCTTTTAATTTAATAATATTATTTCAGTATAATATTATTAATTAATATGAATTTCTGCTTCAAGACGCACCATAAACATTTTATTAATATCACTTTCCCTCAACTTTACAAATAAGAATGAGTAAGGTTGAGCATCAACTGCTGTTCTGTAAATTTCCAGCATTGTCTTTTTGTCTATCAGGGCTGACTGTTCTTGAATAAATGTATCCAGTTCTGCTTGGTTTTTCAACTTGAAAATATATAAACTACTTGTATTCAATCTTACTATAGGAGCCAGTGCGTTCAGTTTTTGAGAAGAGGTTATGACTGACAGACCAAAATGTCTTGATTTTGTATATAGTCCGTGTAGTATCTTACTATATCTCATAAAAACTCTATCCTCTGCCCAGTCATCAATTACCAACAGGCAACTATATAACTTGTTCATTTTATTTTTCTTCTGGTATTCTATCACTTTGTGTTGTGTGTCTATGATATGAGCAAGACTTTCGGGGTCATACTCATCAAATAAAAATTGCTCTTTTTTATTATCTACATTTAATTCTTTCTGTATATATTTTATTACTTCTTTGTAGGCTTCATCAATATGGGCTGTGGGGCTCACTATCCAAATACGTTCAAAGCATCCCCTGTAGATTTTTAGAATGAGGTTTTGAATTAATATACCCTTTCCACCCTGTGATGCCGATACAATGATGCTTCTGAATGGTAGTTTGTCTGCTTGTGGGTAGGGTGATTGTTTGAATTCATACTGTTTTACATTGATAGGTTCAATCTTGGGAACATAAAGTTTTTTCATATAAATTATTTAGAAATTAATTTCCAATATTTATTGTAAATGGCATATCTTATTTTGCTTGAAATGGGTCGCGTAGGCTCCTTGAAAAGGGGTCGGAGCCTTGCGAGGCTTCGCATCGCGAAATTTGGGACAGACTGCCATATTGCCCCTCATAAGAAGGTTAATTAAAAATAAAAAATCCACCCCTTGTGCTCTTGCTTCTTTTTCATTCCCGACACAGTCTCTTTTTGCTATGACAACAAGCAGTAGAAGATGTTGAAGCCTTTTTGCTTGAGAATTTGTTTGATGCTATGTTTCAATCAGCACAGTTCATTTTCTTTGACATCTACCTACCGCCCCTTATGGATTTTTGTTTGCGCCTGAAAATCCATATATAATTAGATAGTAATAATTTTAACATCTAATTATATAGGATGAGTAATTATGATAGTTATATTAATACAATAGATGTGATTGAAGATAGTGTCATTGATGATACTAAATTTCCAGTTGTAAAAGATACTAAACTTAAACAAATATTCAGGATAATGCTGGAGTTTCTCAAAGTGATAATAAATTATCTTAAGTATCATATAAATGCCACCCAAAAAAGCAAAACCAAAGATGAGTAGTGAAATACCAAAAAAGCCAATCCCTGAAGATTTTGAACTATCAGATGAAGAACCCGCTGTTGTCAATCTGAATGAGGAACAAAAATTGACATCTAAAAACATTGTATTTGAATGTCCCTTGTGTAATGGCAAACTACAGATGAGAAATGAAATTGAAATCAAGCCCAAGGGCATCAAATGTAAATGTTCCCCCTGTAGTTTCAAAATCAGCAAGAATGATAAAACAATGAATGTCAAAAAAGATGATGATGGTGAAATTGTTTTAGAAAGTGAAGACCATAGCATCAGTTTCAGTTTTAACCGCCAGATTACACCAGAGGACAAAAATAAGGAAAGCACTAACAAGATGATAAGTGATGTGATGAGCACGGCACAAAAGTGCCCTGCTGGGTCTAAAGACCCGAGCACACCCAGAAGTAGTGGTAGTAAAAAGCAAATGGCAATAAATGATATGGATTAAACCTATTTAAAGAGTAGTTTTAACACACTTTGAACTGCTAAATAAATAAATATCTAAAAAATTAATATATAGTAATGAGTGATTTAGATGATAAACAACCTGAAATGGCAGAGATGCTGAACAAGATGACAAGATACAACAAGAATGTAAAAGCTTTGATGGAGCTAATGAACAAGGCATTAGAAAAACTTGATATATTAGTAAAAAAATAAATCAAGAAATGATAATGATGCTGCTGCTGAGAAAGAAAGGATGGATAAAATCTTTGAGGCTAAAAAAATCGGCAGACCTGTAGGAACTTTTGAAACCAAGCAACACCAGTATCTGAAAATGCTGAACGAAGGCAAGATAAAAATGCCAAAGTCTCAGACACTTGAGTTCTATAAAATTGAAAAAGACGGTGAAGTCTTCAAAGTGATGGGTGAATAGATGAAAATTTGATAATATTATTATCTATAATAATATTATGAAATTGTAAGAATTGTTTAGTGGCACTGGTAGTGTTGGAAGTGTAGCTAAAAATATGGGCTGGACTGTTGTGTCATTAGATTTGAAAGGGGCTGATATAAACTGCGACATACTACAATGGAAATACAAAAAATATCCAGTGAAATACTTTGACTTGTCTGGGTTTCTCCCCCCTGTATTGAATACAGTATTGCTAAAACGGTTGGAACGCGAAAAATTGATGAGGCTAATGCCATCGTTTTGAAAACGCTTGAGATAATTAACTACTTTAATCCGCGAGTATTTACAATAGAAAATCCCCAGAGCGGACTTTTGAAGAAGCAGGAGTTTATGAAAGGGCTTCCGTATTTTGATATTGACTATTGTAAGTATGGTTTAATTTACAGGAAACGCACTAGGCTCTGGACTAACTTGGACACTTGGACACCCAGACCTCTTTGTAAAAAAGATTGCGATAGTATTGATGGAAACCGTCATAAAGAAACTGCCCAGAGGGCACCCAATGGTAAAAAAGAGAACTGGAAAGAAGGCTATACCTTGTTCAAACAAAAGGATTTGTATAGAATATCTCAAGCATTGGTTGAAGAAATTATGACTGCTGTAAATGTTGTATGTTTTCAGTAAGATTGGGTTGTAAAGGGTTCCTACACTTGGGCTCATTAAGTAGGATTTGGGTTTCCTACTTGGTAGGATTGTCATTTCCTACTTGGAAAGGTGCTCATAAGGTAGGATAGGGGGTTCCTACTTGGGCTCATAAGGTAGGATAGGGGGTTCCTACTTGGGCTCATAAGGTAGGATAGGGGGTTCCTACTTGGGCTCATAAGGTAGGATAGGGGGTTCCTACTTGGGCTGGATTTCGGTTCTCAACTTGGAATGGAGAGGTGCCATTCCTGAAAATGTATGGGTTCCATTCCCCAAAATGGAGGGGGTACATTCCTACCCAAAAATGATTAAATTTCCTTCATAATCTGCCCAAAATGGATGGGCTACATTCCCCAAAATGGAGGGGTTCCATTCCCATTATCTGGGCTGGATATTCCCATTATCTGGGCTGGGTATTTCTGCTCCCTGCCCCCCTACAGGGTGCTCCCTGTCCCCCCTACAGGGTGCTCCCTGTCCCCTCCCTGTCCCCCCTACAGATTGGGTGGTTAAGATGGATTTTACATCATTTTGAGCCAAACTGTCCCCCCTACAGGGTGCTCCCTGTTCCCCCTACAGGGTGCTCCCTGTCCCCCCTACAGGGTGCTCCCTGTCCCCCCTACAGATTGGGTGGTTAAGAGGGATTTTAAATCATTTTGAGCCAAACTGTCCCCCCTACAGGGTGCTCCCTGTCCCCCCTACAGGGTGCTCCCTGTCCCCCCTACAGATTGGGTGGTTAAGAGGGATTTAAAATCATTTTGAGCCCCGACTGTTCCCCTACAGTTGCCCTGACTGTTCCCCTACAGTTGCCCTGACTGTTCCCCTACAGGGTGCTATCTGGGCTGGATATTCCCATTATCTGGGCGGGATATTTTTGATTTCTGGGCTGGATATTGACACCTAACGCCTGTGGTTAGAACTTTTGACAGACTTTGTCAAAACTTTTGACAGACCTTGTCAAAACATAAAGACCTACTGGAAATCTCAAAAAACTATGTATTGGCTTTACCATTGCTGGGGTCTGGCTTTATAGATAAATTATTTCATAATTTATCTTAAAGTCTGATCTCATAGGTATAGGCTTTACAATGGGCTTTTGAATGAGGGTAAGTGTATAGTTTGTTGTTTCAGTTTTTGGTATAGTCTATTTTACAATCTATTGTATTGCTTATGGTGTTTTGTTTTTTTTGTTATATGGTTGTTTGTTATGGTTTATATTTTTGTTTTCTATAAGGTGTTGCTCCCCTGTCTTTAGTATTTACCCCATAGAATTTTGTTGTATCATAATCTGGGCGGGTAGATAGGAAAGACGGGATTGCCCTAGTCTAACTATATCATATTACCAGATATGTGTCCTTAACAAAGAACCAATTCGAGTCGTCGAAACGCGAAACGCAACCGTCCTCAGCCAGAGCCAAGGCTTCGCGAACGGATCCCGCGTCAGATGCCTGGCAGCGGCACCACGAAGCCATCGTTAACTGGGAAGAGATGGCCGTAGAATAGATATGCAATGGGATGAAATGGAATATAATTAATGGGATAATTGTGGGCTGTATATATATATATTCTTATTATTTTTTTTATTATTATGATTATTATTGTTATGATTATTATTGTTGTTATTATTATTGTTATTATTATTATTATCATTATTATTATCATTATTGTTATTGTTATTGTTATTATTGTTATTACTATTATTATTAATAATTAGTTACTGTATTATTATTACATATTATTATTATCATTATTATTATCATTGTCATTATCTTTATTGTTATTGTGTGCATAGCATACTTGGTATCGAATTGTATATACCGAAGATACGGTTGTTGTACGCTTCTATGTGGTTCCAATTTCAAACCACCGCTTCTATGGTTTCCTCAATTATAAATCTCCACTATGACCATTACAATAACAGTGTTCAACAATTTCTGTCGCTTATACTCGCTGGTTAATAGGGATTCTGCAGATTCTCTCTAAGTTGATTGTGATAATCGCAAATAGATTGGTTAGTATAATCCATGAACTACTCAATTGCGATATCTTGATCCTGGGGATGCCCTATTTTCGTAGGCAATCCGATATGGGATTACGTTCTGTGGAATCCATCATGGGGATGTAACTCACCAGCTTGATATCATGTTTGGATATGTCCAACTTCAATTTAAAAAATGAATTGCTACCAAGTTGGATAGATAAATTTAGTGTGTTGCGTTTGGCCATGACATTAATAACATAAACTAAGTTACCATGGCTATCCTCCAATTAGTGTGGGATGCCATGAGCCAAAAATAGACATGACCAATGCCCACATAATTTGATTGTCTCCGACGTGTCTACCGACGTTTCAATTCAAAAACATGAATACAAACTATGATTCCCATCTGGTTGGTTGGTGGTTGAGCCCTACCCCTCTGAAAAATATGAAAGTCAGTTGGGATTATTATTCCCAACATATGGGAAAAAAAAACATCTGGTTGGTGGTGCAATAACCATCTTGAAAAATATGAGTAAATGAGAAGGATTATTCCATATATGAAATGGAAAATAAGATTCATGTTTGAAACCACCAACCAGCCATGGGAATGCCGGCTGAAATTAAATTCCGAAATGCCACTGGATGGTTCCACCCGATGAAAGGATCTTTAAAATGCACAAAAATGCACGGGGCCAACTCCAATCAAAATCCGGAAACGTACTGGTGCACCATCTCTGTTCTCTACCTTCCAGTGACATGGTCATCGTGGACCCCCGATTTGGTAATCAAACGTGGCTAGCTGGGAAATCCAGAAGTTTACAGCTGGGAAAATCAACGAACTAAATGGGGATTTGTCCAGCAAGACATGTTTGAGGACACCGGAGGGCAAGTATGGTTGGTTAATGTTGGTTATATTTCCCATTAAATCACCATTGAATCACCATGAAATCCTGTTGCCTGGGTAAAACACCCATCCTGTTGCGAGTTGCCAAGCAGCCGTCCAGTTCGCTCCAGAGCTGATCAGCAACACCCACCTGGAAGATTTTCCCGGCGATCAACCCGTATAGTTATACAGGGTGGCGCTCCATAGTGAGCTAAGTTGGTTTAGAAGTCCAATAACTAAGTACAGGCTGGTGCCCCAGTTCGGAATCGCTAAGTTGGTGCAAAGAAGTCCAATTTCACTATGGGTTTTTCTTGGTGATATATCTATAGTTAAACAATGTTAAACATATTATACCCTCTGGTGAACTAACATAGCAATGGAAAATCACCATTTTTGATGGGAAAATCCACTATAAATAGCCATTTTCCATAGCTATGTTAGTTCACCAGAGGGTAACCCATTTATAACTGGGGGAGGGCACCACCTTGTAGCGGATTTGCTGGCCAGGCTTGATGCCATCCTGTGATGAGGCCCAGGCCATCCAAGTTGACCAGCCCAACTACCCTCTGGTTATGTCAAAATAGCTATGGGAAAATCACCATTTTTAATGGGAAAACTCACGATAAATATGGTTTATGGTAGATATAACTATGGTTCATGGGGGTTATTTAATGGTTTACTAACAGTTCGCTATTGAAAAATGACCATAGAAATAGTTGATCTGCCGAACTTGAAAATGGTGATTTTCCAGTTTGCTATGTTAAATTACCAGAGGGTAACATCAACTAACATGGACCCTGCCTGAAATTTAAGGCTTGGATGACTATGACCAGTCTGACCACTTGCCTCCCATTTTCTGGACCTCGAAAACAAATGCCCCATGTTTGTTGCTTAAAGTCCCCATAACCTCTCCGACCATGCGTGAGTCACATTCTGCATCAAGATTTTTTCGGAAGGATGATGATCAAATCATGATGAAAAACACCATTCTGTCATTGGTTCCATTCATTCCATCATCCATTTACAGACATTTTCCATGATGACTCTTGGGTGAAGTCAAAATGGAGGTCCCCCAAGGACGGGACATGTGTGTTGCTTTACAAAACCATTAAAAATAGCTATAGCAAAATATCTCCCTAATCAACTCCACAGTTAACCAGTGTTAACCAAGTGATGTTAGCGTCAACTTAGCTATGGCAGCTATGGTAAACAAGAAATTCACCTTGTATGACACCCCAAGGTAGGTTGTATCCCATTCTGTCCCAGTTAGATCCCCATTCAATCACCATTCAATCTACCCTCTGGTAAACTAACATAGCTATTGAAAATGACCATTTATAGTGAGTTTTCCCATTAAAAATTGTGATTTTCCATAGTTATGTTAGTTTACCAGAGGGTAAATTAGTTCATATCCCAGAATATCCCTTGTAGAATTCCCATGGTATCCTACTTGGGATCCCATTAATCCCATGAAATATCCTTGGTTGTTGGTTGAGTTGACCTACCCCTCTGAAAAAAAGATGGAGATATTAGTCAGTTGGGATGATGAAATTCCCAATATGATGGGAACGTCATAAAAGTCATGTTCCAAACCACCAACCAGTATCCCCATTTAAATTCCCATTGTATCCTACTTCAAATCCCATTATATTTCCATTTAAATTCATGTTTGATCTGGTTGGTGGTTTCAACCCTCTGAAAAAAATGAAAGTCAGTTGGGATGATGACATTCCCAATATATGGAAAGTCATAAAAGTCATGTTCCAAACCACCAACCAGTATCCCCATTTAAATTCATGTTTGATCTGGTTGGTGGTATACCTACCCCTCTCAAAAATATGAGTTCGTCAGTTGGGATTATTATTCCCAATGTATGTTTGATGGGTTTTTCAACCCAAATTCTTCTCCTTTTCCACGTGAAAAAAGGCCTCCCCCCACCTGGTCTCCCTTCCGTCCAGGAGTTGGCTCCAGGGACCACGGCAGCCCTGCGTCCTCCGCCAACCTGGAGCTACCGACCCTCAGTGGCCATATTTATTCGGCCTGGCTAACATACCGTTCAGTTGCCTTATAAGTGGCTGAATTCTATGGTTTATGGTAGATATAACTATGGTTAATGGGGGTTATAATGGTTTACTAACAGTTCGCTATTGAAAATGGCCCATAGAAATAGTGGATTTACCCATTTATAGCATGGTGATTTTCCATAGTTATGTAAACGTTTACCAGAGGGTAACATCGCTATTGATTCAATAGCCATTGAAATACTGGTTGGTGGTATACCTACCCCTCTGAGAAATATGAGTTCGTCAGTTGGGATGATGACATTCCCAATCTATGGAAAAAATAAAAATGATCCAAACCACCAACCAGAAATAGTTGATTTACCTATGATCCTATTAACAATGGTGATTTTCCATAGTTATGGTATGTTATAACCAATGGCCATAGATTTCGGTGAATTACCGAACTTAAAAATTGGTGATGTTCCGTTTAGCACGCTGTTACAGTAGTTTACCAGAGGGTAAGCGACATTGCTGGAAAGGATGTATCACTTATCATCGATTTAACTGTTTACGCAGTGTTTCAACCTCAAAAAATCGTATCCATTAAAAGCTGGAACGGAAGAATTGGGGTGTGTTTTTTTAACGTGCTGAAGATCTTGGAGGCCAAGACAAACTGAGGCGTATTTCTGACCCCTGCAAAGCCACTAGCATCGCCACGGGGAATCAGCATTGTTCATAGGTGAATCATCGAACTAAATACGCTAAATGGATCTACCCTCTGGTTGTTTAACAGTTCGCCATGGTTAAGCCACGGCCCATAGAAATAGATGGTTTACCTATCAATAGCATGGTGGATCTTTCCATGGCGAACTGTGAATGTCATAACCAGATGGTAAATGGATCTCAATGGGCCATATGTTTCCATATGTTTCCATATGGGGATGGGTCAAAACCCTGGTACCTAGTGAACTCCAAAATAGCTGGTAAATGGATGTTCATCCCACTCAAAATGGTATTTTCATAGGTATTGATCCATGGCTATTTAACAATTTCCGGATGATCACCAGGAGATTCCGACTGGATCCAGGCTCCTGGAGCTCCAGACCTTTCGGTAAGGCACCGATCTCAGGAAGACACGAGATCCTGGGTTTGACCGTCAGGGTCCGGTCGCCCAAGAAATGGAGGTGTCCTAAGTCACCGGGGTACCCCCAAATCATCCAAGTCACAAACGACCATGAAATAGTATTGAAACCCATGGTGACGACTGGGGATTCCCATTTTGGGAAGACCCCCAAATATCTTCTTGGTGGATAGTCAATGTTCCGCTTATTTCCTCAACATTGGTTTCTTAGCTTGTCGTAGTCGTTCACAAGTGGTGGAAACGGGGCACCCATTCATATATGCTTATATTTTGGCCTAGACTTGCGGCAGATATCATATCGTATATTGACAATGAAAGTCACAAATTGTTAAACTAAAGTTTTCATCACATTATAGAGGCAATACTAATAATGCCACTAATCATCATCATCATCATCATCACCATCATCACCATCGTCATCATCATCATCATCATCACTTTGATCATCATGACTCATCGTCATCGTCATCGTCATCGTCGTCATCATCATCATCATCAGAAGGTATATCAGCAAACATATGTGTATATATATACACGTATATCTCATTCCTCCATTCATCCATGATGTATGTGAGTTTCTCAAAATGAAGGGTCCCCAAGTCACCATGAGTGTTTCAATACCATTTGATGGTTGTTTGTGACTTGGATGACTTGGGGTACCCCCATGACAAAAGGGAAACCTCCACTTGATATCATGGGGATCATGGGAATCCAACGGGAAAAATATATTACTGGTTGGTGGTTGACCTATCCATATGGTTAATAGTGCTTAATAGTGGTTAATAGTGGTTAATGATGGTTAATTATGACTGGTTGGTGGTTGACCTACCCCGCTGAGAAATATGAGTTCGTCAGTTGGGATGATGAAATTCCCAATATATGAAAAAATAAAAAATGTTCCAAACCACCAACCAGATTATATACAATGTGGAGATATCATTGAAAAAAACAAATCCAGCATTTTCCAGCAAGCCACGCTTGATCACCGGATGGTAAATTCATTAATTAATCTTATGCCTGTTCCATATTTTCCCACCATTATCACAAGATTCTCCCTATTAAACCACAACAAACCTCCATTTACAGGGGATTTCCCCCAAAAAAACATCTTTAAACCCCATCAAATCACCATAAATCACCAGTTTTCATCGGAAAATCATGGATTTTCCCTGCCATTCCTCCATTCATCAACTATCTCAACCGCATCCGCCGAGCCACACCAGCACCTCCTCCGCCTCCTCCCAGGCGTCAGCGGCGACGCGAAAAGCGGCGCCGCCGGAACTGACGTCGGCGTCGAGGCGGCGGTGGAGGTAGAGCCTGCAGCATTTGTGATGTGTATATGTTGTATATTATATATAAATATATATACTGTATATATATATATATATAAATCTATATATGTATGTCCTGTATACTACTTCTTTATATATATTTTGTATAAATATAATACATATATATATATACTACACATATGTGTGTGTTTATGTATGTTTGGATATGTTTGGTGATACCTTGAGGCAACAATCACGACCTTGTGATGGCGATGGGATACTATTTTGATACCCTGACATTAGACCATCAAGGTGTGGCCAGGTTCGCCAGGTGACAGAAAACGCGGTTTTGAACCTGAAATAACCGCCCTATATGGGGGTTTCCACAAATCGGGGTACCCCAAGCTCGCTAGATGGTTTATTTCCATGGAAAATCCCACTCTAAAATGGATGATGATAAAAATTGGGGTACCCCCATGACTTCGGAGACCTTCATCTTCATCCATTCAACAAGGACTACTCCGCCAACATCTTTTTTCATATTTCTCATTCTTCAACAAGCCTGAATCAAACAATATATAGTGGGTTTTTCTAAAGGGATATTTTTTGGGATATGTATACCTGATTATACCTGGAAACTTTTGATATCATGCCCTTATTTGTCCTTTGCAAATTGGGACTCTTGGGACACCAAGCGGGTCAAGCGGACAGGTCACATGAGTCGATAAATAGGCCAATGGCTGAAGAAGAGGTCAGCGTAGTCGTTCTTCCCCTTGGCTGACGTAGTCGTGGTTTCAGAAGGAACGGCAGATGTGCGTTTTAAACAAGGGCAACGAAAAGGGAAAACCTGACCCAAGACTCAAGATCCAAGTAATCCAACTAGAGGCCCATTTAAAAATATAGTTTTAATATGTATATATATATATATATGTGTATGTATATATATATATGTATATATATATACATATACATATATATCGTTCAATGAATGCTTGGGTTCATTATGGCTCATTGGAAATTTCTTCACACACCAGCGAAGAATTAGATACTCTCGAACCAGATGTTTAAGGCTGTCGAATTGGAGGCCTCAATACTGACCATCGCTGATGGGGCACGTAATACTTTATCTAGATTGCGTTCGAACCATCAACCATGGTTAAAAGCCAATAAATATCGAGTCTGCAATTCATCCCAACTTAAAATTCCTCCAAACACCAATACTAATCATGAAGTATCTCAAAACTCATCGCAAACATCATCCCAAGATCTCTTAACTCGCCCTGCTTCCAACTCCGCAGCATTTCCAGATGGATTGGGCTGAAAATAGGGTGCCCCACTCCATCCTTTGTTTTATCATCATTTTCCTTATCAAAATTACCTAGTTGGTGGTTGACCTACCCCTCTGAAAAATATTGGTCAATTGGGATTATTATTCCCAATATATGGAAAAATCAAAAATGTTCCAAACCACCAACCAGTTACCATTTGGATGTTTCAAAATCTGAAGAAAAGCTCAAGAAGATAGTTGGTTATTAATATATCCCAGAATTCTCCCATTACTAATATTAACCACCAACACTTGTTGGTATATATTGTTGGTATATCTCAATGATTGTGAGTAATATTGTTACTTAAAGGTTATCCCCTGTACTGTTAGTATATATATATGTATATTGTTGGTTATATCCCAGCTGCCAACCAACATAAGGGCGTATCTGCAAATGATACCCCACAATCACCCAAACACCAATATTTGATCATAATTTCCCCATGCAAATGCCATTTTGGGGGTACCCTCTGGTAAACGTTTACATATCTATGGGAAATCACCATTTTTCATGGGAAAATCCACTATAAATGGGCCATTTTCAATAGCTATGTTAGTTTACCAGAGGGTAAACCCCATGTCCAGACATAGCCACATATCAACCACCGAGTTTCCACCCAACTCCTAAGCAATTCCTGCGCTGCTTCCATTGCCTCCCGTCGCGGAGCCGCCACTTGCAGAGTGGCAAGAACCAAATATGCGGCCACGCGGCCGAAAACCTCAGGCTGGGCGATTTCTGGGAAAAATGGAGGGCGAACTACCCTCTGGTTATGTCAAAATAGCTATTGAAAATGACCCATTTATAGTGGATTTTCCCATGAAACATGGTGATTTTCCATAGCTATGTAAACGTTTACCAGAGGGTACCCTCTGGGTTTTTAAGAGTTTTGAAAACATGCCCCATTTGCAGATGATCATATATAATGATGTTTTACCGTTTTACCTAAGGAAAAATGGTGGTTTTCCATCGCCACGTTATGTGAAAAACCAGAGGGTCATCAAAACTTGGCGGTCGAATCATCAACAAAATCGGAAGATCATCAAGGGCAGGTGGAAAACGATGATAAACCAAACAGATTTGATCGGAAGATCATGGAGTATAATGGCTGGTTGGTGGTTGAGTTTCAACCCCTCTGAAAAATGATGGAGATATTAGTCGGTTGGGATGATGACATTCCCAATATGATGGGAAAGTCATAAACGTTCCAAACCACCAACCAGATGGAATATGGTAGAATGTAATGGGGACATAGTGGCAATAGCTGGTGTAGATGGACGTTCATCACCCAAATTTGTGTGTTTCTTTTAAGGTTTTTAACCCATCCCCAAAAGGGATTATGTGACCAATGTATTCCAAGTTTTGTTTCCATGATAGGGATCACGAGGCTCTAAACCCTTCACACGAAAAACACATCCAGCATTTCTCTGACCCTAATTGCATGGTTTATGAGCATCCAGTTTCACCTCCATCGCATCCCTTATAAGATATTCCCATTACGACATCCGTTATCCTCATGTCAGTTTAATCCTACAATGTGAGGCCCCCAAGATAGCTTAGTTGGTGCAAATAACTCCAATAACTATGGTTTATGGTACTTATAACTATAGTTACTGGGGCGAATCTAAACCAACTTATAACTGGGCGGCCTCACATTGTACAAGATATCCCGATTATATACCCTTTATAGCCCCATTGTATCACATGGTCCCCATAGAATTGCTGCTTCCAACCAGAAAAACATGCTGTTGGGGTTCATCATCGCATGTCCATGGATGCCACATTCCCCAAGTCCACTCCAACGCCCTCCCGTTCAACCAATGGAACCAAACAATTAGCCATTACTTGAAATATGTATATGTAAATATATGTAATTATATTATATATATAATATATATATATATATACATATTAAATAGACACACCCATTTCTTCCGGTGAAATCCCCCAATTTTTTTTGCTAAAACCCAAGGCACCGAAGCCTGCGGTCGCTGCAGGTACTGCTGTGCCTCGGCCATTGGCAAGGGCAGCTTCAGATTCAAACGTCGCCGCAGCAGGCGCTGGAACTCCTGGTCGCCGAGCTGAGATGGGCTGTGGCGCAGCAGGGCTTTCTTTCAATGGGAGATCCCCCATTGAATGACATAATTTTGGCCCTTGAAAAATAATTACTCAGTTACGGTCCAATGACTTGGTTTTGGGGGGCCCCTATTTTGAGGAAACACCGGAAAACCTCTTCAAATATAAACGAACATATGTTCAAACAAAAACGCAAACTCTTTGGGATGAAAGTTATACTCTCATATTTATCCGATAAAATTGCGAACTATTTTTTACTTTATCCATTCACCTCCCATTGATCAAGATTTACCGGGCGATGACCATCTTACCCACTGGTGTTCTCAGGGTTGCAAACATCTGAGGTACTGCGGTGCCACCAAAAACGGGAGGACAACAAGCATGGCATCGCTTGGAAAAGCATCAAAACAATAATGGTACTGTCCTAAAATGGGGGATCCCAAAAATGGATGGTTTATGATGGAAAATCCATCTATAAATGGATGATAACTAGGGCTACCCCCATGACTAAACGGAAACCTCCACATGATTTTCAGGGCACAGCCCAGCCGGCGTGCCGGTTTTTCATATTAGTGTCATCCCATAGGAATCCTCCAAGGACTGGCTTAATCCATGGTTAAACCATGGTTCATCCACCTAGGGATTGATCTGGGTTAATCCAACTTGACCATGGCACAATATGGCACACATACCCTCTGGTAAACTAACATGGCTATGGAAAATCACCATGTTTAATGGGAAAACTCACTATAAATGGCCATGTTCGATAGCTATGTTAAATTACCAGAGGGTAGATCAAAATCAGCTTCCATAGGCTCAACTTCCACCCCACCGGGTGCCACCGTGCCACCGCACCTCATCCTCTGGGGTCATGGAGGCATCGCTCAGGGGCAAACGGCCCGGGAGCAACGACATGCCGTCGGACAGCAGGTAGTAGGCCGTCTTCTTACCTCGTGGTGACGGGGTGACGGAGATTGGATCAGCAAAACCTTGATCTATCGGTCTGAAGGCTGTCCACTGAGATATTGTTGGGAACCCAGAAGATGAATGAGTCATAATGAGTCTAATTATGGCGTGTCGGACCATCTATATTGGTCCAAGCGTCCAAAAAGTGAGTTTTGGCGGAATCATGACAAATGTGGCAGGAATTCCTATAGTGCGCCCCAAAGAGATGTGGAAGGAAAGGTGCGACCTCTCAATCTTCACCAGGTACTGTCTGATGTTTTCAAAAATTTTGGCACTGGAACATGGTTTTTACTAAGACACCTGTCCTCCATCTTTTCCAAAGAAACCATAAGGATGGGTTCCGCCAACGATGGACTTCAAAAAAGGCCAGGGTCACCGCAGGTCCCAGAGATTTTCCAGGGCACTATGTCCATAGAGGCGCTTCAAAATCATCTCCGCCCACTTCCCAGATTTCAGGAAGTCTTCCTCGAGACTTGAGCGAAAAAAAAGTCCGGTCTTAGGTGGGGTAACTAGTGGCTCATAACCTCCCGGTACCTAATGATCTAACATTATCTATAGATTCTATAGATATATCTAGCATGAAGCATTGAATTTTCATAGACTTCACCTAACTTTTCCCAGCAATTCTTGCTTGGTGCTTCCATTTTCAGTGATGCTGAAGAGCACCGATGTCATGAGCCATGACCTGACCTTTGTGGAAAATTGGGTGATCTCTCAGCCCATACCATCAATACATCACTGCTTGGTGGTGCAATGTGCCCATCTTGAAAAATATGATGGACTTCGTCAATGGGAAGAATTATCCCATACCCTCTGGTTATGTCAACATAGCTATTGAAAATTGCCATAGAAATAGTGGATTTACCCATTGGAAATGGTGATTTTCCATAGCTATGTTAGTTTACCAGAGGGTATATTATGAAACATAAAAAATGTTCCAAACCACCAAGCAGAACATGATTCGCATCACATTGTGAATCATCCAGTTTGTGTCCCAGCAGCCAGCGGGAGTTCTTCGAAAATGCTCCACATGGCATCAACGATGGACCCTTGGCAGCCCATTGGGATAGGCTGCACGGAGAGTGGGCACCCCAAAACGATGATCAAAATTGCATACAATGTGAGGCCCCCCAGTTATAAGTTGGTTTAGATTCGCCCCAGTAACTATAGTTATAAGTACCATAAACCATAGTTATTGAAGTTATAAACCAACTTAGCTATCTTGGGGGCCTCACATTGTAATCTTGGGGGTTGCTAGCCCATTTTTCTGGGCAGACCATGACAAACCCATGTTTTGTTGGCTGCATGTGGTATATGTGAAGAAATATGAATTAGTAGCATCCCATTGTATCCCATGGGGTGTCCCATCATATCCCGTCTAAAAACCCACATGATATACCATTATCTCGCCGTAAACTTGATGGGTTTACTCCCATGTATGTTGCCAACATCCTGGAAAATTGAGGTAAATCCACCATGCAGTTTATCCGATATGGCCGATATGGCTGGTCTGTGTTGAACCATGCCCACCTGCACAACACTTTCTCCCAACCGGGTGAGATATGTCTGTACCATTGCCGGTGTAAAAAAACGATGTCAGCGGCCAAGCTTCCCAGTTGAAAATTCGTATGGTTATGCACACATTGCCGCGGGAAATTCAGAACTTCCCATTGCTCAATCCAGTCCTCAATTCTGAAGGCCGGTCTCCACTCGGAGAGCTGGGTGGGTGCTACTGGTTGATTCTTATACATATATATATATAATTATATATATATATACATAAAGAATCATAAAGAGTTAATAGTGACCCAAAAACCATACTTATTACTTGAGGAGTGTCTCGTTGCTGTGCTGGATTAGCAATACCTTAGAGTGTCCAGCAAAAACCTACTGGCTATATACGACATGATACGATTTGGGTATGGATCAAAATCCAGATAATCCAGGTACCATACCAGGTTCATCCCCCTACTCCGTCCCATGTCCAGACCCGATGCCGCCACAGGCACGAGGTTTGTAAAGGCTAAAACTCGGCTGGCCTCGCACGGAGAAAGTTTAGGGAGGAACTCATATTTGTTCTGAATTCATTTCCTGCAGTATTTCAGAATCGCGGAAGCCAAGATGATGCAAACATCGTAGATTTTCTGGCTCTTTCTGAAGTCTGAGGCCAAATTATGTACATGTCGTGATATGCTTCCCACTCCCTCATGTCAACTTGCTGCTCTCGCAGTTTCTGCCTAAGTTCTGTGAACCTGACCAACACCTGCACTTCTACCTGCGTAAGACACACCGTGTTTTAGCACCAACCCCCTTGAAATTATCCACCTGAAGGCTTAGTAACCCTTGAAGATGTTGGTGTTTCATGTTATATAAATTGTATGTGGTCAACCAAATTATGCACAAACCATCCCCCATGTTTTTAAACAAATGGTTGGTGTGTAAAAAAAAAAACAACCCCAGTCATGGTGTGTTTTTTTCAACAAAGGCTGCAGCCCAAGTCGCTACAAAGGGAATCTTGCACATCAGCTCTTTCCGCACTCTGGAGATCCTCAAATCAGCTTCACTCTGCTTGCAGAAAATGGGGGGAAGAACAGCTGTGGATGGATGTGGATGGCAACGCGAAATCCGAATCACCAGTTGATAGATTGTTTTTATATGTTTTTATCCCATTCTTTGGGATGGGTTTCAACCATCCGTTTGGTGGTGCAGGATTTCGCGTTGCCATCCACAGTATCACTGTAGAGATGAAATCTGAAATGATGACCATCTTAAGGGGACGAGTAAACCATACTTCAGGAACCGTAGAAAAAAAAAAATCGTTCACTTAAGATGCCAAGATGGATCTTCATTCAACAAAACACCGCTCACCCTGTCAGCAGTTGACCATGCTGGCTCCCCCAGTCATGGCCAAAGCTTCGATGAACGGCTTTTCTTAGTTGGGTAGTATACATATGCCTTCATATACCCATTTGTGGCACAAGATCAAAGTATGTAAACCTACCCTTGACCAAGGTTCGATTGCATCCCCTCCCCTCCGCCCAGCGTCTTGTAGAAGGCATTGCTGAGCCAAAACTCCCGATACGTACGCTCTGCATTGGGATCCACGAACTTCCACACCTTGCGATGGCGGAAGGTGGCTGAAATTTGGCAGCTGGGGTTGAAAATGGGTGTTTGGCAGCTGGGGTTGAAAATGGGTGTTTCAGGGCGGACCAAGCAAACAAGCAAACAAGTCTCAAACATGCTGGACTTTTGGGGCGACACTTCTTCGGATTTGGATTGATTTCTAGGGGGCGAGTCCATTGGTTTAGGGTCATTGTCGCACGGCTCGCAACTGGAACTTACAACCCTAAAAATGGAAACCATTGGAAACCCAGTTACGAGGGTTGAAATCACCTAATGTTTGTACTATGTCATATTCCCATTTGCGTTGATCATCCCCAACTTGTTGGTTTGTGGAATCAGCCACTTACCCCCCTGTCAACTAACATATATAACATAATTAGATACGGAAAGTCCACCATTAATAGATGACTTAACTTGCGACTTCACCATGGTAGTTTTCCGGATTTTTTGGTATGTCTACGCGTGCCCCAAACCAGCTTAATTTTCAGATTGATTGTTGGTTACCAGTGGTACCGCACAAGGCGGTGGCGGAAGTTTCAGAATAGGAAACCTATAGGAGACGTTGGTTGTTGTGAATCACGGATGGCAGAGCGAATCCACTGATTGACCGAAAGGTGGTTGGAGTTGTGTTTGCTGGAATGGTTGCAATGGTTGCAGTGGTCACCTCACCCACAACTGCTGGATGTAGTGCGATGTACTGCAACTGTAGTTGTAGTTGTAGCGTAGTGGAGTTGTAGTTGTGGTGTAATGTAATTAGTGTAGTGTAGTTGCAGTCATATATATAGTTGTAGATGTAGTGGTTTTGTAGTTGTAGTTGTTGTAGTTGTAGTTGTTGTTGTAGTTGTAGCTGTAGTTGTTGTGTGGTTGTAGTTGTTGTGTAGTGTTGTTGTAGTAGTAGTAGTAGTAGTTGTTGTTGTTGTTGTTGTTGTTGTAGTTGTTGTAGTTGTAGTAGTAGTAGTAGTAGTAGTTGTTGTTGTTGTTGTTGTTGTAGCTGTAGTTGTTGTAGTTGTAGTTCTAGTTCTAGTTGTAGTTGTAGTTGTTGTGTAGTTGTAGTTGTAGTTGTAGTTGTGTTGTTGTTGTTGTTGTTGTTGTTGCTGTTGTTGTTGTTGCTGTTGTTGTTGTAGTAGTAGTAGTTGTAGTTGTAGTTATAGTTGTAGTTGTCGTGTAGTTGTTGTAGTTGTAGTTGTTGTAGTTGTTGTGGTTGGTGTTGTTGTTGTTGTTGTTGTTGTTGCTGTTGCTGTTGTCGTCGAAGTTAGGGTAGTTAAGTTAGTGAAGTTAGTTAAGTTAGTCAAGTTAGTTAAGTTAATCAGTGCCTACTTTTTCGACATCTTCACGTCAAAAAAGGCTCAAAACCATCAGTTTTTTTACACTTTTGACTTCGAAATGTGCTTCGCGCCACAACGGCGTGCACTTTTTCGACACTTTTTCGACATCTGAACCTCCAAAAGTGGTCCGAGACCGTCAGTTTTTAACACTTTTGACTTGGAAATGTGCTTCGCGCCACAACGGCGTGCACTTTTTCGACATCTCAACTTCCAAAAGTGGTCTGAGAATGGTGTGTTTTGTACATTTTCACTTCGAAATGTGCTTCGCGCCACAACGGCGTGCACTTTTTCGACATCGCAACTTCCAAAAGTGGTCCGGACCCCTGGTGTGTTTTGTACATTTTGACTTGGAAATGTGCTTCGCGCCACAACGGCGTGCACTTTTTCGACATCGCAACTTCCAAAAGTCGTCCGACGCTGAGGTGTTTTGTACCTTTTGACTTGGAAATTTGCTTCGCGCCACAACGGCGTGCAATTTTTCATCGCTCCTGTGACCAGCTGGCTCCGCACCCGCCGCTTTAGCGAGCCTACTTTTCGACCCTCCTGAGCCACAAATCATTGGAAAAACACAGTGTTTCGCGACTTTCCTACCTTTTCGCGCATCTGTATCTTCTTTCTTCTGACTCTTTCTCTTCTCATCTTCTCATCTTCTCTCTTCTAATCTTCCTCTTCTCTCTGCCTCTCCCCTACTCTGCTTTTCATCTGTCCATATTGTCGGAAGTTTGACTTCTAAACTTCCTTCGAACATTATCCCATTAATGTTCAATTAATATCTCACTATATCCAGTGATATCCCATCATATCCATCATGTTATGTTGATTAAAATTATCTCATCATCTCATGATCCAGTCTTCTCCCGATGGCTTATCAACCATTGGTTACCCACCCAGCTCCGCTCCATTGAGAAAAAACGCTGCCTCCGACACCAGCTCGTCACTGCAGCTCGGCAAAGCGCCGCAGCAATTTTCGTAAGTGAAATCGCCGCCCCAACCTGTCCGGTTGGGGGGAAAACCCTGAACTTTTGATGGGCTTCAGTCAGCTCAGTCAGCTCCAAAATCCGGGGCATGTCTTCCGGTAAATCCCCAAATTTAGTTGGTACAGAATCAGATGTTCAGAACTTCAGTTATTGCTTGGAAGAATCCTGAAACCATCTTTGGTGGATCCCAACTGACCAACTTTGACGGAGAATTTGGGAGGATGAAGCAATCCTTGTAGAGTTGGCTAAGGGGCAGTTGATGGCAGTTGAATCAAGCACCGAACATTCGGGGTGATGTTCTCATGTTGGCTTGTGAACTCGTCATGTGATCAAAAATAAATCCCTTCACTTCAGTTGGATATACCATTGACATCAATTGAGATTGTTCAAAACACGACACTTGAGCAGTGCTAATTGCACGTGTGTGATTCCACAGGTTGATCAAGTGGAAATCCCAGGTAATGGATGATAATCCTTGAAAAAAAGAACAATTTTTGTTGGATGGTTACCCTCTGGTAAACCCACCAGAGGCTATGGAAAATCATCATTTTTTTAAGAGGTCAATAGGTAAATCAGCGATCAATGGGACATTCTGAAATTCCCAGAGGGTAACCCATGCCGTAACCGCTCACTTCACTTGCAGCAAATCATCCCACACAGCCCATCCGCTTGCACATTCAACCCAAAAGCCCAACCCATCCAAACCGTCCCAAATCTGATGTCCAGCCGGAGTCCAGCCCAAGAAATGATCGGTTCTCATAATCCACAATTCAAGTTAGGTAGTGCAACCCCCATTTCAGAAGCAACATGGGTATGGATCAATACCTATTAATACAATTTTTAGGGGGTTATTCACATCCATAAATCCCAGCTATTTTGATGTCCACCAGAATTATTATAGAAAATTTTGACCTATACCCACATGAGAAACCAACCAACCATGGTATTTCGTCCGGTTATGGTTCACCTCTCCAGTTTTCATCCCAAACGGCCCAGCCACATTTCCACCAGCCGCTTGGTGGCCACCGCTCCGCATCGCAGCAGAGATGCTCCGGAAAGAGCGATGCTTCCTGACCGCTGAAGCAGTCCAGCAGGGGCGCAGCCTGACAAGCGCAGGCTTGTTTCTTCCAGTGCATCATCCAAGAAATCGAGGAAAACACCATGGAAAAACCATGAAAACACCATGAAAAATGGTGATTATATATCAATTTGAAAAGATTGGGAGGAGCCTGGATAGCTTCACTTTCTGAAATTTCACCGCACACGATTTTCTACTCACGTCTGGCTGCACCGCTGCATATGTTAACAGATAAGATATAACTGATATAACGCCATTTGGTGGATTTGATAGAACCGATCCTGCAAGGAAGCAGCATCCATAGCCGCCCATGGGGGGCATGCCAAAGTCCGTACTGTCGTGCTACAGAATGTGGTTGGGCTAGCTGGGAATGGTTCATACCAAATAGAATTATACATACAATGTGAGGCCCCCCAGTTATAAGTTGGTTTATAAGCCCCAGTAACTATAGTTATAAGTACCATAAACCATACTTATTGGAGTTATAAACCAACTTAGCTATCTTGGGGGCCTCACATTGTATATATATATATATATATATTCCCATTGAATTAGATACCCCAAGTTCCCTATCAAAATCACCAAATTTGGGTGATAAATATGTTCACACAGACCCACATCATTGTCCTCTCTCAATCCAGACCTAATTACATGTTAAATCCGCACGGTTTCCATGCGAAACTGGCTCAAACTGGTAGCTTGATCCTGAAAACAGCAGGGAATCACGCCAAGAATCAGCTCTGAAACATGTTCAGACCCTACATGGCGGCAATCGATGGTAATCGTGTAACATTAGGATTGACAAGGCAAATGCAGACCTTTTTGGAGTAAGTAAACACAGCAAGTTTGGTAACTTCCAAAAAGTGCCACCAAGCCATGTTGGATCCATGTATTCCATGATAAAATCTCTACAGTTAATCAGGGTTGCTCCCTGGAAACCCCAGATACAAGGGGAGAAAATTGGTCAATAAAGACGTAAAATGACCCATTTCCCAATTTCGCCGTTGTGGCTACCATTTAACTACCATAGGTTGGAGTGCCCTGTGAATAGTTTCAACAACTTCGGGCGAGATTTTAGTTTTAGTTCCGCTGACTTTTTTTCTTCGCGCCACACACTGACTACCCTCTGGTAATTTAACGTAGCTATTGAAAATGGCCATTTATAGTGGATTTACCCATTAAAAATGGTGATTTTCCATAGTTATGTTAGTTTACCAGAGGGTAAATCGTCTCTCACTTGAAGACACCGCCGTTCACATTCAGCTGAGTGGAATGGTCGGTGTTTCCATGCACGGTGTACTGCTCATAGGTCTTGTCCTGAAGAATTCATCGAATCTCAGCATCCCCAGGTCGGTGACTTCCAAAAAAAAGTGATCGTTGAGATTCGCCTCTAGACCCAAAGGACTTCATGATATGTTGGAGGTCAACTTTGATCATGTTTTGAAAAACCCCATGTTCATCATTTGTAGGCTGTATTCCGGCTATGTTCTTACATATTCCAATTATACAATATACCATTAATATGTATATATATATATATACATATGTATATATATATATATACACATGTATATCCATTCCATTGGTAGGTTGTTGGGTGGCTGAACCCCTATGATACCGTGGCAAGCGCTGAGCATCTTTTTGTTGCAGTCCCCTATGCCAATTTTCCCTGTGCTTCCTTCTCGAATGTAATTATATAAACCCATAAGCAGATCGAGGGCCATCGACAGCAACAACAAGAAAAGGGTGTGTTAATATCACATGCTGCCTTGCAAGACCTTGCATCTTGCTAGGCGTATGCAATCTGAACAGCAACTCTTGAGCTGTCACCGCCCCATTTTGGATAGCCCCAAGTCACAACTGACCCGTCTGCCAGGATGGCAGCAAATGCACACTGCGTTGCTTGAAGCTGTTGGACACCTTTCAGCTGATCTTGGACTTGAGAGCTGTCACCACCATGATTTGGAGACCCCCAGGTGACAAGCCGGTCACCTCCAGAGCAGAACAACGCGAAAGCTCGTTTTGTTGCCGCTACCTTTGCCTCTATAGCAACAGCTGTCACATGGTCTCCATCTTCAATTCCTGCAGCTTCCAGAGATACTGCAGGATTCACATGATGGTTTGCATCCACAAGCCTCAAGAAGCTGAAAAGATTTCTGCGCCAGAACCCTCAAGTCCTCTACTTTGGAGGACTGCGGCAGCGAAAATTTGTCGCTGCGACCGCTGGGCAAAGCTACATCGACATTTAGCATTACATAAATGATCAAATCGCCCAAAATTCTGAAAAACTACCACTCACGTCGATTGCGCTTGAACCAAACTTGGATGTCCATCCGAGGAATCTAACATAGTATAAACATGTATAAACCATGGTCTGTGTTTTCAATTTTATACATCTACTCCCCTTCCATTCCCGATCATCTCAACCAGGAAAACAGGACCAGGGCCCACCCCACCGCGGAACTCCTTGGAGTACATCTCCCACCGGCTGGCAGGAAACACGTGCCTTGCCGGATCCAAGTCAAGTGAGAGTTGCGATTGATGGTTGTAGTAACCCCAACATTTTTTTTAAATGTGAAAAGATAGAAAAATCATGTATCACCGTCACTGTTTTAGTGGGAATTGACGATCTTTTTGGGGATTACTATAGTCACTCAGGGCTCTATGTTTGCATATTTGGGCTTTGTCTGGCACCCCAGAAAATATTGTTTCCCATGATAAAGTCCATGGATGGAGGAAATACCCCATGTTCAAATAGACACATATCATGCAGGGTAGGTTATATGTCCCATTCTACCCCATCATTTATCTTTGTATCCCCAGTATGATTGGTTTTATACCACCATGTCTATCTCATGGTATTACACATTTATCAGACAAAGCCATATCATGGAAGGGTCTCCAACAGAATCCCATTAAATCCCATTTTTTTTCCATGAAATATCCCCCACAGAATAGTTGCTTACACATGCTTACACTATGAAACCCAAGTAAGTGTTGATGCTTTGGAACATCATTTTCCCCATGAAAAACAGCTATGGCTAGAGGAAAAAAAACCACTATTTTCGTCACCAAGGTGGAGACAGGTCGCGTGTTGAAATTGCCATATGACTAGGGGGAATCATCATCCATTCGCCAAAAAAAATTGGGTACCAAGGTTTTGACAATGTGGGGCTCTCCACAAGTTGGTTCAAAAATATCCCCATTATAGGAACTATTGGTTTATATGAATATATCATATATCCAGTTATAGTATCATAAGCCATAGTTCTTGGATCTTTACCCAGGAAAAAAGAAGCGCGTTCGTTCACCCGGCGCGGTCCCAGGAACTTATTTCGCTCGTACCACTTTCGGTCCACGATTTTCCCTGCATGACTCTCATCCTGGACGAAAATGTCCCCAAGAAGCAGATAGGGTTGGTTTATAATGAGGCAAAATTGATGGTCTATGATAGATATATGTATACTTAGATCTATAGATTGATGTGTATATAGTATATGATTATATTATATATATATATATATTATATTTATATATATAATTATATATATATATATTATTTAGTGTAAGATTATATTACAAACCAACTTGTAGCTGTGGTGGCCCCACATTGTGGTGGAATTCTTGGAAGCCTCCAAGCAGAAACTCGTGGTGTCCATAGTTCCAACCATTTGTGTAGAAAATCTTCACCTCTAGAATGGATGTGCAAAAATATTTGGATGTGCATCTTCTTGGAATCGTAAGTCGATATATTCTATCATGATGTATCATACATCTACCTTCTGAACCCTAGTTGTATTTCTGGGCAAATTATAATAATTCACCCTGATATGTTGGGCCATTTTGGGATGATTCCCCTATAAAAACCATGATTCCAGGCTTCGGGAGAACAGGGTTCGGTCGTTATAATTTGCCCAGATATTTGGATAGTTCATACATGTTCATACCATGATGGCCAAATAAACATGTGTCTTATGGGAAATCGCCAGCTGCTTCTGGCTCATGGGCTATTGACAAGTTGCTTGGGGGTGCACTGGGTTATACCTGGATAATATGTATACATATATATATATTATAAAGCTACGTAGTTATATCTATCAACAACCTCAACCGCACCCCCAAGTAGTTACTACCTTGGATAGTCAGACCATGTGTATCCTCCCCCAATTTGGAACCCCCACATCGGGGCCGCAACGCCTAAAAAAAACAATAAAAACCAAACATCGAGAGGCAAGACCTGGAACTCAGATCCAGGTCTCCCCTAGAAATTCTCTGTTGCTTCAGAACGGTTTATATAATTTTAATTAATTCTCATATTATCTCATATTATCCATCTAACAGATAACGATTCAGATATTCTATCATGATGTATCATACATCTACCATGAAAACAAACGTTACCATCTTTTCTCGTCAAACTCTCTCGTCCCCCGTCTGTCATTTCTGACCTTCTCGATGCGGGAATCGTTGGACATACGAATGTCCTGCCATGGCACCATGGTTAGGGTTTGGTACCTGATCATGGCAATCCCCCATGGTTTGAAAATGAAAACATGGTTTTAAACCCATCTTTAACGAAGGATTGCCATAATTTTCAGTGGATATTTTGATGCTTTGAAATACTTCGAAACCTCATATGTCCCATTAAAGTGGCATTAAGGTGGCTATTTTGATGCAGAAAATTCCCCCATGTTTAGACAACTCCATCTATGGGTGTGCTGAACTCTGGGAGATTGGAGTATTTCACCCCAGGGGACATAAGGTACTTGCCATGTCATGTCTCAAAAAGGATGCTCAGAAATCATCCGAATTTAGGGTGTCAAGTTATCCACCTGCAGATCCCCATCGTTGCTCAGGAAGAGCAACACCTCATGGACGTCGAAGTGAAAGAGGGGCCCAGACTTTCCACGAGCCTTCTCCTGGCTCTGCTCGTTTTTTTTTGAGAGATTTCACAGGTGAAAATAGAAAGATCATGAAAGATCCAAGCAGCAGAATTGAAGAATGTATATCATTTGTTGAATCAGTTTTCAGGTTTTATCGGTAGAAATGAAAAATTCAGCAACAAATTGTTGGATTTGAGTCACAGTGTTCTTGATTGTTTTTGATCGTACCAAGAAACTTGGAGGTGCCAAGGTTCGCATGCCTTGATCAAGTCGTAGAAGCTCACATTGTGAGGAATGATGAGGTCTTCCTTCACATACCTCTCCACAAAGAATAGTACCCGCCAGATAGTTACTGAGAAAGGGTTTCTTCATTTCTATTTCCAATTCTGGAGGTTTGTTCAAAATCACCAACCTCGACAGTTGTTGAAGATGCCACCAATAGCTGGGTGATCTTAAAACTTCGGAACTTGTGCATGTCTTTTGATCCGAAAAAATCGGACGTCAAGGTGTTTTTGGTACCAAAAATCAGTGGTGCGACATAGTGCGAGATGACCAAACGACCAAGGACCCGATGAAAATCCCACAACTCATGGACTCATATCCGGGTTTTCCGAAGTCATGGTACCCCAATAGCTGAATGATTTTAAAAAAAACTATGAACTTGGATGATAACTAGGTTTACCCCCATGACTAAACGCAAACATCATGAAACCTCCAAAGATGTTTCAGAGTTCTCAATGCTATTTGTGTCACTTTAAACATCTTTAAACCATAGGAATCCCATCCATTCCCATCCCCACCGCGCCACCGCGCACATGAGTGTGTCAGACCCCACGGTGCGGAGCTCCGGGAAGTCGGACTTTTCCAGCTCCGCTTTGGCCTTCTGAAGGAATTGCCCTTGGTGATCCGAAAAATCCAACATGGCCATGGTGATCTATGGAAGCTCAGGCGGGATCAAAGAAGCCATTGTGTATTTCATCCAACTATTGACCATGGCACAAATACCGTTGTGTTTTTTGGTGGTTGATAGTTGATAGTTGATATTAGTTGATGGCATCATTCCTTTTCAACTCATGAATCATGTTATCAGCAAAGTTTCAGATATCAATCATCAGCCGGGTGGGGAGAAAATGAGAGAAATTCCAATTCCGGCAGTGTTAACCCTGTGATCCACCAATGATCACGTGTCGGTTTCCTTTGCCGCTTTGGAATGGGATATTGTTTTTTCGGCCACGATTTACGCTTCTATTTTAGGGTCAAGGCAAGGCAGTCAGAATGTGCCGTAGCCGCAGCCCTCCCGGTGATGAGCGTAAGATGCTTCAGCATCACTGTGTTCATGCCATTCACTCCATTCACTTTGTTCATTTCATTCAATACAATATTATATTATATTATATATCATATCATATCATATTATATGATATTATATATTATATTATATTATATTATATTATATTATATTGTATTATATTATATTATATTGTATTATATTGTATTATATTATATTATAATAAAATAGTATATTATATTATATTATGTTATATTGTGTTATATTATGTTATATTATATTATATTATACTATATTATATATATTATATATAATTATATATAATTATATATAATTATATGTACCCCACAGTTTCCAGTTATAATTGACGATCCTGGCATTCACCAAAACTACTCCAACCATCACCATATATCACCATCTGACACCATCAAGAACTTGGAGTTGCGCCAGAAGACAAGCACCGGAGGCAAACCCCAAAAGCCTCTAGCCATTTGCAACACGTCGCATGAGGGCCTGTTCGAAATCTTCCAGAACACTGTAGAATTCAGGGGCGGCTTTGCACCAACCTGGCTACACTATGCTACACTAATATGTGCAAACTAATCAAACTGCGTTGCAACTGCTGAGCTATCGCCGCCATGATGCCGACAGCCCCAAGTCACAAACGACCCGTCCGCCAGGATCGCAGCAAATGCATGATGCGTTGCCTGAAGCTGTTGGACACCTTTCAGCTGATCTTGGACTTGAGAGCTGTCGCCACCATAAATTGGAGACCCCCAGGTGACAACGGACCTGTCCGCCAGGATCGCAGCAAACGCATGCTCCGCTGCTTGAACCTGTTGGACACCTTTCAGCTGATCTTGGACTTGAGAGCTGTCACCACCAGAATCTGGATAACCCCAGGTCACAACTGATCCATCTGCCAGGATCGCAGCAAATGCTTTGCCGCTTGCTTGAAGCTGTTGGACATCTTTCAGTTGGTCTTGGACTCGAGAACTGTCACCAACAAAATGTGGAGAGCCCCAAGTCACAACTGATCCATCCGCCAGGATCGCAGCAAATGCCTCATGCGTTGCTTGAACCTGTTGGACACCTTTCAGCTGATCTTGGACTTGAGAGCTGTCACCACCATAATATTGATGGCCCCAAGTGACAACTGACCTGTCCGCCAGGATCGCAGCAAATGCATGATCCGTTGCTTGAACCTCTTGGACACCTTTCAGCTGATCTTGGACCTGAGAGCTGTCACCACCAGACTGTGGAGGGCCCCAAGTCACAACTGACCCATCCGCCAGGATCGCAGCAAATGCTTTGTCACTTGCCTGAAGCTGTTGGACACCTTTCAGCTGATCTTGGACTCGAGAGCTGTCACCACCATGATGAATTGGACACCCCCAGGTGACAACCGACCTGTCCGCCAGGATCGCAGCAAATGCCCGATCCGTTGCTTGAACCTCTTGGACACCTTTCAGCTGATCTTGGACTTGAGAGCTGTCACCACCAGAATCTGGATAACCCCAGGTCACAACTGATCCATCTGCCAGGATCGCAGCAAATGCTTTGTCACTTGCCTGAAGCTGTTGGACACCTTTCAGCTGATTGTGGACTTGAGAGCTGTCACCACCTAAATTTGGAGACCCCCACGTGACAACCCGGTCACCTCCAGGGTAGAACAACGCGAAAGCTCGTTCTGTTGCCGCTACCTTTGCCTCTATGGCAATAGCTGTCAGGCGGTCTCCATCTTCAATTCCTGCAGCTTGCAGAGATACTGCAGAATCCACCACATGATGGTCTGCATCCACAAGCCTCAAGAAGCCAAGTTGAAATGATTTCTGCGCCAGAACCCTCAAGTCCCCTACTTTGGAGGACTGTGACAGCGAAAATTTCTCGCTGCGACCGCTGGGCAAAGCTACATGGACAGTAAGCATCTATCAAAAAGACAAAAATGATTCAGTGATTATGAAATATTCCATGCTATCCATAAAAAAAAGTTATATAAATCATATTCTATCCCATGACCGCTGAACGGGTTGGTCGCCGATTTCTTCCTCTTGCTCTTGAGCCAGGCTACAGGTCAGCTCACCCATGGAATCTCTTTCTGTTCACATCAAAATCGCTGGGATTCATGGTTACTCATGTTCTTCATGTTGTGGATATGTTATTCATGCTATTCATCCCCAAATATGCTAGTAATGTTTAGTGAAGTACTACAGTAGATGGACAAAATATTCAAACCCTGCAACACGCACTATGTTGAACCCCCGCACCCCCAAATCTCAATGTTTTAGCGCGCGTGTTACCCAAAGTGATGTTAGGGGTTGAACTTTGGGCGCGAGGGGGACCGGATAGAAGGGGTTTGAATATTTCGTCCATCGAATCGGTAGTAAACCATCCTCCAAAATGCAATGGCTGGGATTCCAACCATCAAAATATGGGTGGGTTATGACCTCACACTGTATAGTATAAGTTTATGACCTAACATTATGACCTAACATTAATTCCACTATGCATGGGTTTATGACCTAACAGTAGTACAGTTTCAACCCATCCCGAGTCGCTGACCAATCGTGAAGCCTCTCTCCACCACGCAATTTCGGCGATGACCGGACCCTCAGGTGACGGTCGGTCTTAGGCTTCGGTTCGGTCCATGTGGCCTTAAGATAGGGATCCAATGACCTCAAGGATTGAACCACGAAAATGGGGATGTTACCACTGAAAATGGGGGTTGATGATTGATTTATGATAGGCTTCTGTTGATTTAAACCTCCAACAACAGCTGTTGGGTTTGTGATAGACATCTGCAGTTGGATTGGCTTATAAACCAACAAAACATGACAAGTGGGACCGACTTTTCTCTAGCTGTTTCTTCCAAACTGCATATCCCAGCTCTACCTCGTCAGCTCCTCAGAAACTGGCACTCAGTGCACTTCAACATTCAGCATCCACAAGATATGAGTCTACCCGAGCATCAGCTGTGGGAGAATTACCCTCAATCAAACATGGCTGGCGGGAACAACCCCGCGCTAGTTATGGAGTGTAGTTATGGAGTTTAGTTGGCAAAAAACCATCGAACTAGATAAATGGGAAGATTTTCCAGGCAGCCAAAACGTGTCTCGCTGTTGATTCAGTTCTGGGGATCCAGGATTGAAACCATCATGGATCGATTGAAAAATCAAAGTCTCAAAAAAAGGATAGACTTAGTGATCAATAATCATCAATGCTTAAAGCATCATAAAACGATCCAAGTAGAATTTTAGAATCACCCAACGAAAAATTGTTCAATTCATCAGTGCATAAATCCATGAATTGGCTTACCGACAACGCTCCAAGGGTTGGGGGTGAATTCACCCAGTCCCCTCCAAGCGCCACGGCACCGTCCCAGTAAGAGTAGGTCACCTCCAACTTGGTCTTCTTCAACTGGCACAGAGCGAACTGGGCCACGTTTGGAAAAGCCACCGTCATTGAAAAAAACACAGGTGATCATCCAGAAAAAAGATCAAATGTTTTTGGTACATCAAGAACATAATTTTCATCATCCAAGTTGTTGGCTGGTCCACTTTCATGATGAACATTTGCTGAAAACTTTAGGAACTTCAGAAGTGATACATTTCTACATAATGAAACCACAAGTTTTGAGGTAGCTCCCAGCTTTCGCTAGCTGCTTTAAGAAAACTGGGAGAACATGTGATGTTCAGATGTTTGTTCTGGATTTGAGTTGCTCCCGTCCTTAATGAAATGATTTTCCATGACTTTCCAGTGATGTTGAGCCGGCAAAAAGGGGCCAAAAGGGGCCCCTGGGTTTCTCACCTCTTCCTGCTCCTTCTTGTACTGGACCTTGGACCAGCTGTGAGTTTCTGACCCAAAAACCCTAGGGGATTCCACTGATTCCACTCCAATCGAGGTGCACCATGGGATCATGATCAACCGAACAGGCCAAAAGTGCAGTTCCCCGTCAAAAAACTCCGTGAGTTTCATGGTCAAAAAGTGGCTTACCCTTTGGTAAACTTACAAAAAGCTATTGAAAAAACTGTGTTACCCTCTGGTAATTTGTAACATAGCTATTAGAAATGGCCATAGAAATAGTGGATTTTCCCATTAAAAATGGTGATTTTCCCATGGTTATGTAAACGTTTACCAGATGGTTTATTCCACCACCATGACCGTTCTGCTGGAGAAAGTTTCGCCCCCGACTCCGGGCACCAGGCGATGAGTTCCTTCTTCTTTCGGAGCAAGTCGGCTTCGCGATCAGCGTCGTACCTGGAGCTGGGAAATCCGCCCATGGAATGCCTCACTTCGCCATGGGGAAATCATCACCACTTTGAAGAGGTAAATCATCAAACTACATGGCGAAAAAAAAATCCGTAGCTATGTGAAGTACTGGAGGGTATGGCTTGTGGTCATCCATCCCATTTCATGGGATGACATGACTATACATGACTCATATATGGATATACAATGATATACATAGATAGTTGACAACCTTTAGTGGGATATGATATAGGTCACAGATCACGGGGCACAAGAAGTCAGTCTTTGCGGTCGGGTCTTTGCCGAACCTGCTTTGACAAAGCGGGAGAAGGAATTCCACGGGTCCCAGGTTCCAAAAACTTGAACGGATCTGAAGATAAGAAGCTGGTACCCATGGACACTCTTCTTTTTTTGCAGATTCTCCATGTATTCTTGGATACATTCTTTCTCTGGTAAGTACAGATGACTGGCTGGAAAATCGCTACCTCTTGTGGGAGAATCTATGCATTTAGAAATGGAAATGAATGGGGGAGGGTTTATTGCCGTCTTCGTTTCTTACAGGGTACACCCACTGCAGTGGGTGCCGCGCGTAGCACAATGGCAACACCCTGAATTCATTGGAAAAACTCCTTGTGGCTGCGATTGTAGCTTCTTTGCATGGTCTTAAAGGGATGACAACAATTGCAAGGGGGTTGTCTGAAGAGTTGGATGGTTTATCATCATCTTCCGATTGGAGTTGTTCTTTGGATTCTTTTGGATGGCTATACGGCTATACAGACCATATTAAGACAGACCCTTTTAAATCCAGCTGGAGGAACCAGCTAGACATCTGCGAAGGTGAAAAAACAACGATGTCCACTTGGGTTTTGTTTCACACATGGGGGTCCATAAATGGGGGCACCCCAATAGCTGGATGGTTCATGGAAAATGCTGTTAACAAAAAATAACAAGGATGATCTGGGGTTCCCCCCGTGACTTCGGAAACTTCCACATGACCAACTGAAGAGGTTGATAGAACCGGCCCAGGCAAATCACCCCAAGTGTACAGCGGAGTTGCCATCCTTCTAAGTAATGATCGCGCCACATGGCATCCCAAGTATTAAGGAATACCCTCTGGTAATGACTAACATAGCTATTGAAAATGGCCATTTATAGTGAGTTTCCCATTAAAAATTGTGATTTTCCATAGTTATGTTAGTTTGCCAGAGGGTATCTCAATCAATGCACATTCTAGACCAATGTGCGTTGATTCAATTTTGGGCATCAAATGTCTACTGTTAGGCTTGGCTCAATCGAAGTTCGAAGTTCAATGTTTAGCCGTATTTTGCAATGATTGTTGATCATACACACCGCCTGCAGTTTGCGGTCGATAAGCCTTGTTCTCGGCAATAGCCAAGACGGATGCGGATTTCAATGGGTCAACGGAAGTATCACTACAACCGTGGGATACCATGGGGGCCCACAATGATAGCTGAGTTGGTGGTTGACCTACCCCTCTGAAAAATATGAGTGCGTCAGTTGGGATGATGACATTCCCAACTGAATGGAAAAATAAAAGTCATGTTCCAAACCACCATCCAGGATAGCATTCAGGTCATATTGGGATAATTTCCCACTATAATCCCATGCAAGATAATGCCCGAAAAATCGAGGCTCCAAGTGAAACACGCACAAATATTCAACCTGATTCAACCTGATCAATTGATTCGGTGATTTCACCAGGTAAAACCAGGGATTTCACCAGGGATTCGTAAGTTTCAGGAGATGCGCCAGCCCGCGGTCCTTTTCAAACGCGCTTCTCAAAGCAAGCCAAAGCACTGAAGGATTCTGAACTCAGGGGCCACTTTGAGCCATGCTGGCTGCACATGTAATCACACATATGCAAACTGATCAGCAATTGCAGAGCTGTCACCGCCACAACCTGGAATGCCCCAAGTCACAAGCGACCCATCCGCCAGGATCGCAGCAAATGCGCCCGAAGTTGCTTGAACCTGCTGGACACCCTTGAGTTGATCTTGGACTTCAGAGCTGTCACCGCGAGAATCTGGATCGCCCCAAGTCACAAGCGACCCATCCGCCAGGATCGCAGCAAATGCGTGGTCAGTTGCTTGAACCTGTTGGACACCCTTGAGCTGATCTTGGACTTCAGAGCTGTCACCGCCATAACAAGGATCACCCCAAGTCACAAGTGACCCATCCGCCAGGATCGCAGCAAATGCGTAGTAAGTTGCTTGAACCTGCTGGACACCCTTGAGTTGATCTTGGACTTCAGAGCTGTCACCGCCATGATCTGGAAGGCCCCAAGTCACAAGCGACCCATCCGCCAGGATCGCAGCAAATGAGTGGCCAGTTGCTTGAACCTGCTGGACACCCTTGAGCTGATCTTGGACTTCAGAGCTGTCACCGCCATGATCTGGATTGCCCCAAGTCACAAGCGACCCATCCGCCAGGATCGCAGCAAATGCGCTGCCAGTTGCTTGAATCTGCTGGACACCCTTGAGTTGATCTTGGACTTTAGAGCTGTCACCGCCAGAATCTGGATCGCCCCAAGTCACAAGCGACCCATCCGCCAGGATCGCAGCAAATGAGTGGCCAGTTGCTTGAACCTGCTGGACACCCTTGAGCTGATCTTGGACTTCAGAGCTGTCACCGCCATGATGAGGAAGGCCCCAAGTCACAAGCGACCCATCCGCCAGGATCGCAGCAAATGAGTGGCCAGTTGCTTGAACCTGCTGGACACCCTTGAGCTGATCTTGGACTTCAGAGCTGTCACCACCAAAATCGGAATTGCCCCAAGTCACAACCGACCCATCCGCCAGGATCGCAGCAAATGCGCTGTAAGTTGCTTGAATCTGCTGGACACCCTTGAGTTGATCTTGGACTTCAGAGCTGTCACCGCCATAACCTGGATCGCCCCAAGTCACAACCCAGTTGCCTCCGCTGCAAAACAATGCAAAAGAGCGTGCTGTTGCCGCTACCTTTGGGTGTATGACAATGGCTGTCAGGTTGTCTCCATCTTTAAGTCCTGCAGATTGCAGAGACACTGCAGGATCCAACATGCCATGGTCTGCATCCACAAGCCTCAAGAAGCCACGTTGAAATGACTTTTGCGCCAGAATCCTCAAGTCCCCTACTTTGGAGGACTGAGGAAATGTAAATGCCTCACTGCGACCGCTTGGCAAAGCTATACTGATTTGAATCATATCTTGAAAACTCCAGCTCGTCCAAGTTGGTGGTTTCAACCCCCTTTTTCAAGTTGACTGGGATTATCACCCCTTTTTCGTGGTGTTTGAACGGTGTTTGGATAAAACATGACAACCACATACCCTCTGGCCAACCAACATAACTATGGAAAATCACCATTAAGTTTAGTAAATTATATAACTATTTCTATGGCCATTTTCAATAGCAAACTCTTAGTTTACAACCACATAGTTGCATTTTTCACCACCAACCTGTAGCTGTCTGATCTTGAGCCAAAGTTCACCCAACTCCACCATCCTCCTGCTGAAGATTCGCCGTCGCTGACATCCGGTGATAAACTTTAAAAGCCTACAGTTAAAGCCCGAAATACATCAAAATACCACTTATACTAATGGTTGTCAATGGGGTTATCATTCCATAATTCCATAAATGGGGCTATATGAAATGTTATAACACTGACTTATAACAAAGGGCCAACAGTTTATAACGACCTCTACGGTTTATGGCAATTGATTTATCAGTCCCCATAGGTCGCCATACCCGATTCCCCAGCTTTGGTTATGTTCCCATGGCCTCTTCTTCTTCATCTTCAGCTCATCGTCCTCGGAGTCCTTCATGGTGAAAGGCATTTGGGATGGGATGGAATTAAAAAGCCAAGGAAACCACCAGCCGCTTGGGCATATCTGCTCCTTTGTGTGCTTTCGGGATTGGTTTTTCCATGAAATCGCAATCCAAAAGGTTCTTCACTACTGTATACCCGTTGCATCTTAATCATTCCTACTAGTAGCTATATCATGCTATATCCCGATGATACCACCATTTTTTGTCGTGGTCCAATCATATGGCCATATTCACTTTGATGGTGGTTGTGTTTGGCATGCGGCCCTTGGAAGGGTTGTTAATTTTGAGATGTGCCATTTACGATCCCTTGGACGGATTACAAATTTCAAACATAAAGCTTTCCGAAATGGGGGTATAGGATTTGGTTTTTGGCGTCTTTAACATGTTGCACATGCTGTCGTATGATCATCAAGGGGGTGGGGGGGTGTATTAGCGTCCTTGACGAGTACTTCCCTTACGTTACGGCGCATGTACACGTTGCACATGCTGTCGTATGATCATCAAGGGGGTGGGGGGGTGTATTAGCGTCCTTGACGAGTACTTCCCTTACGTTACGGCACATGTACACGTTGCACATGCTGTCGTATGATCATCAAGGGGTGGGGGGGTGTATTAGCGTCCTTGACTGACGAGTATTTCCCTTACGTTACGGCACATGTACACGTTGCACATGCTGTCGTATGATCATCAGGGGGTGGGGGGGTGTATTAACGTCCTTGACGAGTACTTCCCTTACGTTACGGCACATGTACACGTTGCGCATGCTGTCGTATGATCATCAGTGGGGGTGGGGGGGGTGTATTAACGTCCTTGACGAGCACTTCTCTGACGTTACGGAACATGTACACGTTGCGCATGCTGTCGTATGATCATCAGGGGGGTGGGGGTGAGGGGTTGTATTAACGTCCTTGACGAGCACTTCCCTTACGTTACGGAACACGTTGCCTAAAAAATCAACAAGTGTACAAAATAAGATACACTTGAGCCTATAGCTGGACATGGCGTCACAATGCTGCCTTGTTGCAGTCTGTGGCTTCTGCGTTGCCACAAGCGCTCTGGCACTGAAGCGTCGAGAAGAGGAAAAAACTGGAAGAGTGAATGTCGCCCTGATTTGATTCAGATGATTGAAAATTATAGATTCCTAATGTTTTTTTTGACCCTTGAAGAGCAAAATCGAGTCACCGCGCAGGCGAAACGCAAATTTTCACTCTTGAGTCACACGCCTGCCAATCGAAATGAATGTCCATGTTGCAAACGTTTTTTGACGACTCCTGCAAATACCAGCATTTTGTCTCTTAGCCTCAAAAATCAGAATTTCAAATTCGTCACCCTTACAAGGGCGCCGAGTCAACCGGTTGCCTTGTGTTTCTCATCCGTCACATTTTCATTGCCGAATATCGCCATTTTAAATGTTGTTCGATGCCAGAAATAACATTGCGGTTGCTTAAACATCTGTGCGATAATTCGGTTACTCTCTCGTATTTAACATAGCTTTGGAAATGACCATTATCGGTAAACCATCGAACTAGCTTTGGACCGGGTAAACCATCGCTATGTAACAAATTACCAGATGGTAAATCTTCAAGTTCTAAAAAAATGTATCCATTGCCATTAATATCCTATCTGGTTGGTGGTATACCTACCCCTCTGAAAAATATGAGTTCGTCAGTTGGGATTATTATGAAATTCCCAATATATGGAAAAAAAAATGTTCCAAACCACCAACCCGCTATAATCATTCCACGATATTCCGAAGTTTGCTGCAACAGCCCAGGTCGCGGAAGCCTCGTCTTCTGCGTCATCATCGCTCCCAGCGATGTCGTCCGCCTGTGAGTTGTGTCTTCCAACATGTGCCCGCCACGTTGGTATGGTGTCTAGTATATAATTGTTCCTTACCAACAATCTACAAGGCCTTTGAATATTGATTCAGTCTCAGTCTCATACATCTATCTCTGGTTCTCAGATTTGTTCCATTCATCTCAAGAACTGTGCCTTTGAGCTGGCGTCATGTAGGACAACACAAACCCAAAGGGAAAATTCAAACAGACCAAACACCAGCTATCCTCCAGTAGCCAAACATGGCTCGCTGAGAAACTTCCAAGCCATGATGGACTTTCCAGAAAGCCATGTGGGTGGTTCCATGTGTGGTTTGCTCGATATTTTCACCAGGCCCTTTTGAACCAACATTAACCAACTATTTCAGGGATGTGTGTTACGGATTTTTACGCGTTCACAGTGAATCACTGCATAGTTTTCACTGCACAGATTGGGGACCACCAATTCGATCCGGTCTCGACAGGTCTCGGATTCAAAAACGGCCCTTTTCGAAAATCATTCACCCTGTTGGAAAAGCTTTTTGGGGGAAGCCCTCCATGAATTTTTGTGGGCTGGGACATCTATATCACTTAAAGTTATTGTAAGATATGGATAGATATGGTAAAATGATGTGCTAAATCCCCATGGGTTCTTTTTTCTGTTGCACGATCAGATAAGTTGGGAAACTCGATTCGTAGCTCCAACTTAGTAGCTCCCCATGGCGTTGCCTGGGAATATTGCAAATATGTCAGTGGATTTCAGTGGTATATATCGTCCAAGAATATTACCTAGAGTTACTCAATATATAGATACCCGATTAATATGGAAATATATAGATACTCATAGACTTACTCAATATATGTTCCAGTTCCTTAGGATTCCCCCTTTCATATGGAACATCGATCCCCCAATCGCTCCAAAAAACCACTTGATGACTGCCCTAACCTCGAAGGATAACTGCGCAGACTTCACGGTACGCTTCACGCGCAAAGACTTCTTGTCCTGGCTGGGCAAGGCGAAGAGCTCGGAGGAGCGTGCCAGGAAGGCTGGGGGGAAAAGCCATGGAATTGCCATGAAAAATCTATCAAATATGGGTGTACCATGGAATTTGATTGAAAGGATGTTGTTTTCAGGGGACTATGGAATTGACCATCAATTTTGATGAAGCCTTTCTCCTAGAGTTTGCGATTTTACCTCAATTCTAGAAGTGGGATGTGGCTGGGTGAAAATTCTTACCGGAATATTGCGCACGTGTTCTTCCAGAAGCATATTCTTCAAAATGGGAACACTCAAGGTACACTGATCATGTCCACGTGAAGGAAATCAAACTTAGGAAAAAAGGGCCACCAGCCACCCCTTCGATGCTGCTGGCCTTTTCAGCTTGCTGGGTTGCTTGGATCATGTCATCAATGGCCTGACGCCTGACTTCGACAAAGGGCCACAGATCAATGATGGAAATCGTTGATCTTAACCCGGTAAAAAGGGCCGGGTTGAGGTTGATGCTAAGTTCCTAAATGGCGAAAAGAGCAAAACATGGTAGATGTTAGCACGGATGAACCCGCCTCAAAAAGTGAAAATGGTGGATGTTAACCAGCCAAAATGGTTGAAGTGGGGATCGAGGATCATCTTACCTAGTAGATAATTGGCTGGTAACTGGGATTGTGACCCACTTATAGACGGAATAAGCCCAGATGTCAAGGACTTTTTTCAAGCATCGGTTACAAACCAAAAATCACCCATTGGCTCAGTATGGTGTTCATACCTGCGTAACTAGCCAACACAGTAATTATATAGATGTGAGCGGCCCACCCTTTGACCATAGTTCCGAACCATAGATGGATCTGAGTCAAACCCCGTTTTACCTTGGTTTTTCACATCAAAATAATTAGCTGGTACTTGTGGATACAAACATCCTCATTCCAACGGTCAGGTATATAGCCAGACTCTTCAATTGAATTCGCCACAGCGCTTAGTTCCACGTATACCATCAGAACGTTCCTTGTAACTAGATACGAGTGAATTTCACTTCGATATGAAACTCCGACCATGTCTCAGTGTCCATTTGTCATCGAAGTAAAATATTCACTTAGATAATCTCATTCACTTAATTATTAACGATAATTAAAGGTGTAGTACCACCAATACCCATGGATCATGGCCTAACCTTCCTAACCCCCATGGCTCGGTTACAGTCTGGGCGTTCCAACTTGGCACGGAACTCGTCGGCAGAGACTAGGCCAACCTGGGTGTCAGCAACGAGCAGTGGAAATGGATGGTCGATGAGTCATCTGGGATAAACATATAGGTATTTCATGGGAACATTTATAATGGAATATAATATATATATATATATAGCTAGCCAACAATATATTTATATGGAATATATAATATATAATATATGGAATATATAATGGAATATAATATGTATATATATATATAGCTAGCCAACAATTTTGTCAACGATATTGTTCGCAATGAAAGAGTTTACAATTAGACTTCGAAAAAACCATATGATGAAATACTGTGGATATTTGTATATGGTGTCATCATTACAGTATTGTTTACAATGATGCAACGAAGATCAATATTATGTACAATACAGTCAATAGTTATGTCATTGGATTGGTTTAAGGGAAAATCTACAGGAAACCATGGTTTTTACCATTAAGTATGGGGCTTTCCTGTAAATTTTCCCTTAAACCAATCCAATGATTATGATAATTTTCCGCCAAAGCCTTGATGAAGCCACCACAGCCAGCGCCGAGGTGCTGTTTGTCTCTTGAACTCTTCCTCTAAATCTTCCGCCAAACTTGCCTTTGCACAACAGTTCGCCAGTGCATCGTGTGTGGGAAAAACAAGGTGCCAAAAACACTTAGCTGACTTCGTTTATACAGAAACTCCAATAACGTTTATGGAAGTACTTCTATATAGTCGTGGTTATACAGTATAAGTTTGTTTAATGAGGGGCACTACCTTCAATGGTTTCTGTCAAGCCACAGATCACTTCACTGGGGATCTTTTCCACAAAAAAACACTTCGGATTCCTGGTACCCAAGTAGGAAGCCAACCATCTGTCAAGGGCTACCTGCAAATGTCCTTGCCGATTTGCAATGAAATCTCACCTTGATGAAGCATCAATTGTTGGTTTTCAATGGGTTTTCCCCAAGAATTTTCAAAGAAAACCATTGATGATGGAAGAATCCCTTGGAATCCAATGGGCTCACCTCAACGCGTCATGGCGTCATGAAGCTATGGATCTGGAGGTTGCCTTGCCATCTTACATCTGGGGTCCAACGTTGTTGGCCCATACCCAAAACACGGACATCGAGCCACGGATCAATCTGATTGATGGCGACATGGCCCAATTTATGAGTTGATGATCCCTCATTGATCCGCAACGTCACCATCCCCAATGTCTGGTTTATGAAATTGGGGATAGAATATTGGGTATACCCTGAATCTTGGGATGATTAATCTCATAAACCATTACTATGGCTTGATAAATGTTAATAATTTGGGATGCTTTAAGGCCTTGTGTCTCCCAAAGTGATACGACGTCATTTGCTTACCCAAGACATTCTAAATTTGTTCCAGCCCGATTCAAGTCGCGTTGTTCCTACACAGTCACACCCAGCGGCCGAAGAATATTTGTCCGCAATGTTGGCAATCTGCCTTAGGTCGCGGCCAGGTCGTAGGTCGCTCTACTGGTGCATCACAAGCGTTGGATGCTTTCTGATTGGTTTCATGGTGAGGGGCTCATTGATGGCTGGTGCTTGAAAAACCCCATGGAAAAACAAAAAAAAAATGTTCCAAACCACCAACCAGATGGTCATTGAGTCGTGACATCTTGCTCATCCCCGATTTGTTCTGTCATTCGGTTCGTTCGGAAATTTCCCAACCGAATTGGGGAGATGAGTCATGCGAATGACACATGAGTGACCGAATTCAACAGATCTGACAGGAAAAATAACATAAAATAACTCAGTGGATTTCTGGATGCCTTATGTTCAGACAACCCCACATGGTGGCGTGGCATTCTCTGGGCCAGCGCACTTTCGCTTCTTGGATTCGTTTTCAATGTTCGCCTTGCGGTGTTTCGGTGTTTCGGAATTGCGGTGGAGGGATTTACTGCTCCATGACCAAGTGCAATGAGACCCAACTTTGGACACCGAAACAACCAAGCTGGAATGTGATTCTGAGCGTCTCAGAAGGGATATTGGGAGATAACAAACGTCAAGCGACCCGCGGGCACCCGACCTTTTCCGCTTCGGCGGCGGCACGGGTTTCTTCTCGCCTGCAGGAAACTCTATGAGTTCATCAACGTCAAACAAGAAATAAATGATGAAAATTGGACAAAAGAAACAGTAATTCGGCAGAATTCAAATCATGTGTTGTTAAAATGGTAATGTGAATATAACAATAATATATACAATCAAGATGATAACAATGATAGGAATAATAATTATATAATTGCCATAATAAGGAAAGCCACGAATAACCTATATCTATATATATATATACAATTATACACACACATAATCTTCACTTAAATAAGTCTTACCCTCTGGTAATTTAACATAGCTATTGAAAATGACCCATTTATAGTGGATTTTCCCATTAAAAATTGTGATTTTCCATAGTTATGTTAGTTTACCAGAGGGTAAAGCCTTCACTTTTTGTTGATGTTCTTTGTCTTTGTTGATTTGCAGATGGGGATGGAAATCCCGGATTTTTAACCAGAAATCAGGTCCAACTCCAGCGGCGGCAGCGAAAATGGCTCTGATTCAAAGGGGTCACGGCCTCAATGGCCTACATAGTGGTGCCCCAGTTCGATAGCTAAGTTGGTGAACATAACTACAATTTTTGTTGGACTTATGGTAGATATATTATGATATATCTATAGTTGATGGGGGTTATAAACTAACAAACATCACTGGGGGGTACCACATTGTAGGAGTCTACCAGAGTTCAACGAAAATCTGACTAGAACTACCTTAAAAATGTAGCATTAATGCGATAGAGAATTTGGATGCTGAATCAACCCACAAAGAGGAACTGTCATCAACCATCGTGAGATTTCATAGTTTCAAGCTCAATCTCCAAATGGAGGTTCCTTTTAGATAGAATCCAAATACAGTAAATCCCTTCAGCAGTCGGTTCACGGCGGCAAATTGGAACATCATCAGCACAACTCTGCTGGCAGAACGTTGAACATCCATTTGAAACATCAAATCATTGTTCAAAAAAGTAACAAATGAAGAACATCCTAAAGTCTTAAACTCTTTCATAGCTACCTCCCACATGAGCTAAGTATGGAACTGATATTAGGATAGATAGTTCATATTCACCAAATATTGGAATATCCATAAATATCCATAAATATCCATAAACAGTTATTATTGATATAGTTAGTGATATTGGATAACATAATAACATAGGAAAAATCTCACATTTCCCAGGCTTTCTCCAAACTTCGAGCTCCCCCCCTGCCCTGCTGCGGCCTCTTGAGGAGTTTGTATGCTCGGCCACCTTCTGAAGTGGCCACCATCTGGGCGCTTGCAATCATCGGTAAAATGGCTGAGTATACCGGAGGGTTTAGGGTTTATAACTCCAATAACTATGGGTTTTTGTTGGTGATATATCTATAGTTAATGGGATTATAAACCAACTTATAACTTGGGGGGCACCACCTTGTAGAGTTTTCTTGTCACAACCCAACTCAAACATACAAAAAAACTCATGATATAAAATGCATGAAAAAAATCCCTATTCATATCCTATTCATACCCATTTTACACATGAGTTTTGCCAAAACATAGATTGTCAAATTGCAAAAATGCCGCCTTTTTCGGCGAAAGATTTCGCCGGTCTCCCCGGCCTGCCGGATATCGTTGCCCGTCTCATACGCGCGGACCTTGGTTCGTGGAGTCCCCCCGGTTCGTTGGGTGGGAAGGTCTCCCACGTCTTCCCCGGTGAACATGGACCCCCAAAAATCATCACATGGCTATGGGTCAATACCTATTAAAATACCATTTTTTTAATGGGAATGAACATCCATAAATCCCAGCTATTTTGATGTGAACTACAGGGGTACTATTGGTTTTGACACACTGCCACATCATCTTCCAGACATAAGTTTCATGCGTCAAAATGCAAATGTTCAGGAGAGTAAATCGAAACTATACCCAAAAAACTCCTGAAGCAGTAGAGAAAAGCTTATGAAGGCACCACATATGGGGACGATTCCTTCTACATCAATCCTGCGGCTCAAATTTGAGTTGACAAAAAAAACATTGGTTCAAAACTATCAACATACATACGGTGGGTGGAAGAAATCTTGCACCACCTGGGATGGTTGAAACCCTATGAACAATGGGATAAACCACCGATCAACTGGTGCAGGATTTCTTCCATCCACAGTGTCAACTTCCCATGGTTTTGGGATGGTTTTTGGCTTACATCCAAGGCACCGTTTCGAGCTGCTTGGCCACGGGAGTCGCCATGGCACCAGCCTCTCCGGGTGGCATTGGCGGTTGTTTAGTGGTTTTTCCCATGATGTTGGGTTCAGTATACATCTAATATGTTTGGGTTCACTTACATCTATAATCATCTATATAGCGACGGACTGAAACTTAGAATGCCGCCATGTTTGTTAAGATTTTTAACGGTGCCACTTAGAATGCCTTTTTTTTGGCCTCACTTAGAATGCCTCCATCGCTAAAACATTCAAACCTGCGAGCTGGACTTTATGAGGCATTCTAAGTGCGCATGATTATCGCCATATTTGGAGACCCTTTCAATATTTTTTTGGTCCAAGGCATTCTAAGTTTCAGTCCGTTGCTATTAGAGATATAGACTTAAA